AAGAAGTTTAAAATAAAAGGTTGAAAAAAAGAATTAGATAGACAACATATATTGAAAATTGAAAACATATAAATAATAAATGGGCCCAAATGAGGTCAAACTTTTTGGCTAATAAAGTAGTAGGTAATTAATGGTGTAAAATTGTCCAATAATATAAATTTTAAAGGTACAATCATAAAAGAAGAATGTACAACACTATCAAGCACATATCATCCAACACTTGTCATGTGCTAAGTAGTAGATATTCCCACTTATTATATATAGTTATATATATATAAAATCTTATGTGCGTATTTGGTTTGTATATAGCCGTGCTACCTACGTACTCGTATTTTCTTTGTTTTAATTTGCTTATCTGAATTTTAATTTGATATGAAATTTTAAGAATAAAAGAATTAAATTTTGTTATCTTAAACTAACGATACGTAAAATGTATCAAAAATACATTTAATCTGGTGATCATAAACATGTCATTGAATAATTAAAATTAGAAAATTTTCAAAAAAAAAAACATTCATTTTAAAATTGACTTAAAAAATCAAATAAATTAAAACTAAAATTAGATATTTTATTTTACTTATCCATTTTAGCAAATTGAGAGAGCTTTTTAAATTATTTTATTATTATCCTTAGTATCAAATAAAATTAGAATTTCAAACAATCATTAATAAGATTAGTTTAGGTAGATGCATTTTTTGTTAAGATTTTTTAAAGGGGTGTGTCTAAAGCTGCCAAAAAGGGCCGGCCCAAGCCTGAATATGCTCAACCCAACCCATCCCTAGAAGGGCCGAGGGCTGAGGCGGGCTAGCCCTTCTTTTTTTTTTTTTTTTTTCTTTTCAAACATATAATTCTATAACATCAAGAAAATGAGATGATTTTCAAACCAAACATGGCAAACAATGGTGTTGTTTCAATAACACTAGCAAAAAATCTAGTGTAATTAGCATGTATTTCGCATACCAGATACACGAGCGAGATAAGAGAGTGACAAGCAAGATGGGAGGGAGGCGAGGGCGGGATATTTGTCTATGTATCCTAGATACATGTGAATCTACTTGGATAAAGTGTATATAGAACAAATTAACCTAATTTTGAGTCAGTATATTCCTAGATACATGTATCTGGACATACCAAAATCTGATAAGATTCATAATATTACAACATAGCGTGTATTTAAGTAATTAGATTATATACTAGTGAGATTATTGTAAGTTACCCTTAAATAAAAAGTTTTAGCCCATGGACCGACACTGGCCCGGCCCCGATCAAGCCTTAAGGGCTTATATGGGCTGGGCTATAAGCTCTAGTTTTGAATGAGCTTGAAATTTTTTATCCCAACTCTACCCCAATAATGGGTTGGGTTGGGCCGGCCCTATGGGCTAAGCCCGTTTTGACGGCTCCAGGTGTGTCAAATCTATAAAGATCAAACAATATAAAAAAGATCATTAATGTATCATCAAGGGTTGTAATGGAGTGATAAATATTCCTTCATTCATAACCAGATGTCTCAAATTCAAATCTCTTGAATTTGGAGTTGCCTTTGTTAGGTTACGATTTATTCAAAATTCAAATTTAATTAGGCTCCGCCATAAATATCGGACATCCTATGAAAAATATAAAAACGGATCAGTAGATCATCTGTCCATGTTATGCCATTTTTACCAACTATCTAGTACTCCATCTTGTCAAATCAATCATTCAACTATAGGTTAAAAAAAGAAGACATAACGATGAAAAAGTACTATATTCATATTCAATAAATATGAAAAGATTTCTCACCTATCAATTAATCATAATCAAATTGAATAAGAACAACTTAAGTGACAAATATGAGATACTATAATATAATATGGAAGTTTTATTTTCATATAAAATTGATTTAGCTAAATAATATTTTGTTATAAATCATCAACCAAAGATCTAGTGATAATTCTTCTATTGATTGATTTTGAATAGGGATGATAATGGGGTGGAGCGGGGTGGATTTAAGCTTATGTGGATGCAGGGGCGCGTTTAAATGAACATAAGGTGCGTTTAGATTTTTCGACATAAATTCGAATTGATCAAGCAATACAAATTATAAATATCAAGAGGAAAACCATAAAGCGAAAAAAAAAAAAGCACAAACTTTTGTACATATTATTCTAACTATGGCTTTACATATACATAAAATAGTAAATGCATGATGCAAATTATAAACTGTATGTAACACCCATAAGCGGAACTAGGTGGGAGCAAGAGGGTTTGTTCGGATTTTTTAGTGAAAAATTACATTATATATTTGAATTTAAAATTATAATTTTATATGTATATATATTATATATAAATATTGGATTCAATTAATTTTTTCGTGTGTTTACTTTTAATTTCAATTTATGAAATTTTAATCTCCACCATTGATACCACCAACTAGCAAGCCTAACTATAGTCTAATACAACTTGAATCTATCTCTAACTCTTGCTTAATTATAGTATTAATTAGCTTATATGTCTATATTTATCCTAGTGGGTTGGGCCATTTGAAGGTGGGGTTATAATTTGAAATTTTTGAGTTTGAGATTTTAATTTTCTGAGATTGAATTTTAAAGTAATAACTTATATATATTCAATGAATTACTCACTCATAGGCCATAGTTATACAT